CATGGCAGGTGATTTAGTAGCTGAAACAGAAGCGTCTCAGTAGTCATCTTACAAGTGGAAGTTTCGCTATTTGAGATATGGCCTAGTGCCACTGCTGTTCATCGCGACAAAATCCAAAGACGGATCTGCAATGTGATCGCTCCTGACTTGGCATCTCGACTCCAGTCACTTTCTCACATAAGTGATATGGCTTCCCTCTGTCTTTTCTATAAATATTTTAATGGTAACTGCTCTGACGAGCTATTTTCCCTGGTGGCCTGACTGCATGAATTTCAACGTGCTACTAAGTTGGTATGTCGGTCCACCTTTTTACTCTTGGAAGAGTTAAAAATAACCTCCTCTTCTGCTCCAAAAGCTTCTTTGCACTTCCCGACAGTGGAACTCCCTTCCTCTTACTTGCTTCCCTAATAACTACAATCTTCAAAAATTTAAATGTAACGTCAATTGTCATCTTCTGATACCTTGATCCCCTCTTTTCTTTTTATTCTTTCCTCAATCCACACTAAACCCAGGTTTTATCTTATTTTCACGCTCTGTAACTCCTTGCGTACTAGCGATACCCGACCTTGATTGGGTGAAATGCTTGAAATAAGATAATCGGTGATGCATTTCAGAACTCACATGACTAGATCTACGTTTGGTGCTAGTAATGTTGGTAAAGTATGCTAGTAAAAGTAAAGTAGTGGTACTAATAAATTAGTAAAGTATGTGTCGTGCTAAACATTTTTTCCCACGATAAGCTATTTTCTATATTTATAAGTTTACCAAGTCCTCCATTTGAATATTGTTGACATATCTGGTCTGGTGGTACTGCTATATATTTAGAGATTCTTGATAAAATCCAAAGAGGAATCTGCAATGTCTCTCTCCAGAATCTATCTTACATATAAGTCTACCATTCGTCCATGCTTTGAATATTGCTTCCACATATGTTCCGGTGCTCTTGATATATATTTAGAGATTCTTGATAAAATCCAAAGAAGAATATGCAATATTATTAGTTCTGACTTGGTAACTCAGCTTTAGTCACTTTTTCACCGAAATACTGTATCTTCCTTGTGTCTTTTCTATAAATAATATCATGGTAATTGTTCGGGTTAGTTCTACGCTGTAGGACATAGACTTTATGAATTTAAGCGTACTACTATATCATCATTTTACAATTGAAAATATTACCAGCAAAACATTCTTGGAAAAAAATATTACCAGGGATATAGTTTTGGAAAAAAAATTACCAACGATATATTTTTAAAAAAAAAATATTACCAGCAATACATTTTTGAAGGAAAAACAATATTACCAGCAATATATTTTTGAAGATAAAATATTACTAGCAGTATATTTTTGAAGAAGAATATAATCAGCAATAGATTTTCTGGGGAAAAAATATTGCCAGCAATACATTTTTGAAAAAATTATTATCAGCAATAAAAATCTTGTCGGCATTAAATAACCCATTCAGATAGATATGCCGTAAAACAAACCAAATAAATATACAATTTTACTATGGGAATTCCCGTCCTGGGTATGAAGATAAACTACATCCGCGTCCTGGGTAAGACGATAAACTACATCCAGCAGCAAGGCTACTGATCAGGAGGTTTTGAGGAGCGTGAAACC